GTAGTATCCGAAGGGAGATATTGATGGAAAGATATATCACCGCGGGGAAATTATGTAGGAAATGCTAGAGATGCAAGGATGCACACTAGCCCCGGCCGATGGACTAAGCTAGGCCAGGATGTATGGTTTAAGTTGGAGAGCTGGACCTCGGAGAGAGACCGAGGGGATTTGATGATGCGGTCGACGGACGATATTGACGAACTCCGAAGCACAACAGTAGCTAGCTGTACCCCGGGTGGTGGCTGCTTTCTTCCCATCTATAGTATTCCGGGCGCCAGTCTACACCTTTCGGGATGTGTTTAACACACACCAGGCGGGATCACACAGAAGGAAAGATAACACATGGGCTTTCGTTGTCTTCCATGTGTCCTCCTGACTGCTTACTTTCAACTGTTAGCCCTCGACGGGTTCAGCAATTCCCTCCCCTCGTTTGTTGTGGACACCCACGACTGCTGTAAATACGCCGTTCGCTTCTAAGTGGCGAGTTGCGAGATATTGGAGACTCGAACCCACACCCTAGAGCCAAGACGGGTCTTGAGGTTGCTAGCTGAACCGCTTGTTTTGTGGCCAGAGGGACTAGTCTACAGTAGTGAAGTCGTGCTCCGTATGTTGCATGGGAGAGTATCATACAACGGCACACATGTCATTGAAGAGGAATCAGGGAGGAACTTGAAAACGTGTTGCTCAGTCATTTTGCGTATGGGTGGGGGCAAGCGGCTAGATGTTGTGAGAAATGGATAGATGTAGTCACAAGAGGCGAAGTGTGCTTTCAGCAAATATTTTGGGTGGTGGAAAAGCAGTTCTTGAGACATGGGAATCGCATAAGGAGCACTTGACTAGTGAAGTGGGTTCGGTCGGGGATGGGGGCGTTGACTGGCGGGTCTTCGCATAGATGCAGGGTCAGCATCGACCGTCTGAAGACAAACCAAAGAAGCACAAAAAATGCGTACGTCCCCCCACCTCGCCCGATTCCGAACCTTCAGGAAAGACTTCACATTCGTCGCACCTTAACCCACGTGTCGAGCTGTCGCAACCAGATGTTGCCTGGAATATATGGCACATCACTCGGCGAAATACATCCATTGTCGGCGAACATAGAGCCCATGGTCTCGTTGCTTTCAACGATGCCTCGTACCAGAGCCTTCTCCAGAGCGAGATTATACCTTGCATATCACGAGTGTACGCATACCACACGTTATTAGTTGTTCCCACAGACAGAAGCCTTCAATCGGTGGGACACCACCCAGCAAAAGGCCTGGATCGCCTCAACAGCGCCACGCAGTGTCGACCTTTCTAGTGACCAAATCTTACCGGTGTTGACAGCGGCTAAGCCGCATGGGAGTTCGTCTTACGGGAAAACACGGAGGGGGGATCCGCTGGACTACATATCATGTCAACAGAAGTCAGCACTACCGTATCGCGTTCTCATCGCAACATGCAACCCAAGGTCGTTTCTCAGTTCCAAGTACACCATGTGAGCGATGGGGGGGGATAGTCAGTCCTCACCAAGCCTGAAGACGGTCCTTGTTGGGCATCATCTGGTCGACAGGGTGGCAATAAAGGACATAGTCGTGTCCTCGGTCCGCAGGGCACGCCCAGATGTGAGCGGCGTAGAATCCACGGTTTTTTGCCGACTCTAGATACGAGACCAGTACCTCCTGGAACACCTCCCGACGGTACCTTCGGAAGAATTGCCCGCAGAAAGCAAGGTTACCGCGATCAACTTCGGGGGGACAGGCGGACCTTGTGGTGTAATTCTGCGGCAGAGCTGCAGTATGCTGTAGTTCGCTCAACACGTTCAGGAGCGTCATTGAACCGTCGAGCTCTGTTTGAACACGTCACCACGATGCTACCGAGAAGCTCACTAGCTGGGAGACACGCGTTCTCTCACCTTTTGGGCTGCACGTACGCGACGGAGTCGATGTAATTAACGTAGACAAAGTCCCGTGTTTGCTCGGGACACGTCTTCGCGAACTCGTAGACACTCATAATAAAAACCAGCACGTCCTTGTCGTCATCCATGCCCTGGAACAGCAGAAACCACCTGAAAATGTGCAGCAAGCATTGAGTAACAGCAACCGAGGCGGTAATCGACGCGATCAGCGCTGGAAGAGTAGGACCGCTATCCGCGGTGTTGGGTGATCAGCAGGACGTGGGGGAGCGAACCATTCAAAGAAAAAAATGTATTCATTGGTGCGAAAGTTTCAATATAAGTATTGGAAATGCGTGAGGCCCCCTGCCGCGGTCGGAGGACCTCGCATGAAGGGAAGGGTGCTT